GGGCCTGGGCGCTGTCCCTCAGCTCTTCAGCTCAAGGCTAGCGCTCTACCACTTGAGCCACAGTGCCACTTCTGGCTTTCTTTCTTTTTTTTTTTCTTTCTGCTTATGTGGTGCTGAGGAATCGAACCCAGGGCGTCAGGCATGCAAGGCAAGCGCTCTACCACTGAGCCACCTTCCCAGCCCCCCACTATGGGACTTTTATCTCTGGTTTTATCTCTGTTGCATCCCCAACAGATCCCTACTGCTTTTGCATTGTGATAGGCATCTAGTAGGTGCTCCATAAAGGTTTGTTGACCGAGTGAGGGAGTGAAGGACACCTTCCAGATTCCCTGGGTTTAGCAGCTGGTGGGTGAGGCTGAGCCTAACGTTAGAGCTCTGGAAAGGAGCAGGCTGAACGAGGGCGAATCAGATGATGAGCCCAGTGTATAAAGAATGAGTAGTAATGTCGCCATTAGTGCCAGCATATAAATGAATGGATAATTAGATACAAATAATGGATACATATTGGAGAGAATTATTCAGCTTTCCTAATAAGAAGCAGTGGGAATCAGATTATCATGACCATTTTCCTCAGGTAGTATACACCTATAAATAATGGTGAGGTGCTGGCTTTCCAACGGCATTTGCAGAATGCATCAAATACCTGGGTGTGTGTGTGTGCAGAGTCTCACCCTGCAGCCCAGGCTGTCCTGAACTTGCAGTCCCCTGCCTCTGTGGGTGCAGCGGCAGTCCAAGTGAGCCACTGGAGGGCCACCTGGGGGGCTGGGGGGCTGGGGGGTGGGAGCACTGTGGGTCCGTGGTGAACTTCATCTCTCTGTTGTGCTTCCAGATGAAGACAGTGAGTGTGGCCCTAGTTCTGTGCCTGAACGTTGGTGTGGACCCTCCAGATGTGGTGAAGACCACGCCCTGTGCGCGCTTGGAGTGCTGGATTGGTAAGTGCCAGCCCCCCAGCCCTCCCCACTGCCAACCCCCTCCCTGCCAGCCCCCTCCCCCCACCCCTGCCAGCCTCCTGCTGGCAGAAATTGGAGATTTTATATATCTTAGAAGTATTAAATTTTATATTGTAGTGGAAAAAGCCCTTCTAGGAAAATTGACAATATAATGGCTATTGGGTTCTATAGTTTTTCCTTTTAAATTTGCCCAAAATATGGCACATACACTTAGAAGATTGAATGGCTGGTTGTTGTGTTTTTTTTTTTTGGCAAGCTCCACATACTGTACAGTGGCATCTTATGAGTGCTCGCTGATGAGTGCTCCCAGCTGTGATAGTTGTGCTGGCAGCTCTACTCCTTAACTCACGTGGCCTCCCCAGAAACCCGGGGGTAAGCTCTGTTACTAATTTCCATTTTAGAGCTGAGGAACCTGGGGTAGAGAGGAGGATTCTGCCCTAGGCTGTTCTGTAAGTTGCAGAGTTCAGATTTAAACTTCTCTCTT